AATTTCCAAAGACCCTCCTCGCCTACCACCTACTCACAAATCGGCAACTGGACGATCTAGCCCGTCACTTCCACCAGGTATGGCCCCCGGTGGAAGCCACAAGGGCATACCCCGTGTCGATCCCCGCCTGGATCGGTACACAGGGCGAAAAGAGCGTCGACCTACAGACGAAGCGGCGACGGTTCGGTCGATTTATCGGGCTGAGGGGGTGTGAGTCGCCTACTGTTAGGGAGCATGGAGAGGACGAAACAGAGGAGCTTTTGGCGAAGATGGAGTGGGAGTGGGAGCAAGGTCTTTTACAGGCGCAGAGGGAGGATCCTGATACTATTTTGCGGTGGAAGGCATGGGGGCGTTGATGTTCATTGTTCATTGAGACAGGCGTACTGTGCTTTGTTCGTCACCTTTGTCTTGTTGGTTCTGCGGGAGTTTGTGGTGGTGCTGCATATATTCAGCTTTGACACATACATTCAGTTAAATGCATACTGGAATGTCGTTGGATAGGGATTACATTTCAGTTTGACTTGAATCGATTAGGGTATCTCGAATCTAATCCCCCGTTTAGCCTGATGGAGTGGTGGGGTAATTTCTTGGGGTCTATTGTTTAGCCTGAGTCGGATAAAACCAAGGCAGTGGAGATGGTATAAGAATCCAAACCCAACAGCACGTTCGATATCAGGATGTTCAAGGGAATAACTTCACTTCTCTACTCGTTAAACTAGACCGTGGAAGAGAAAAATGGCCAGCGAACCCCTCGTCAAACACATCTACACCGCGGACCCCTCCGCCCACGTCTTCAACAACAAACTATACATCTACCCCTCACACGACCGCGAGACAGACATCCAGTTCAATGACAATGGCGACCAATACGACATGAACGACTATCATGTCTTCTCGATGGAGACCGTCGGTGGCCCCGTCACCGACCACGGCGTCGTCCTCAAGGACTCCGACATCCCCTGGGTCTCCAAGCAGCTCTGGGCCCCCGACGCCGCAACAAAGAACGGCAAGTACTACCTGTACTTCCCGGCCCGCGACCGCGAGGGCATCTTTCGCATTGGCGTCGCGGTGGGGGACAAGCCCGAGGGGCCGTTCGCGCCGCAGCCGAATCCCATCCGCGGCAGCTACAGCATTGACCCGGCGGCATTTGTCGACGACGACGGGCAGGCGTATCTGTACTTTGGCGGGATCTGGGGCGGGCAGCTGCAGTGCTGGTCCCGCTCGGAGAAGGAGGAATGGGAGTTTGATGCGTCGAAGACGGGCCCGCAGGAGCCCAGCGGGGAGGGGGTGAAGGCGCTGTATCCGCGGGTAGCACGGCTGACGGAGGATATGCTTGAGTTTGAGGGGGACATTCAAGAGCTGGAGATTGTGGATGAGGAGGGGAGGCCGCTGGCGGCGGATGACCATGAGCGGCGGTTCTTCGAGGCGGCGTGGATGCACAAGTATAATGGCAAATATTACTTCTCATGGTCCACGGGCGATACGCATTACCTGGTGTATGCGACGGGGGATAGTCCGCTGGGGCCGTTCACGTACCGCGGCCGGATCCTGGAGCCTGTCCTTGGGTGGACAACGCATCATTCCATCGCGGAGTTCCAGGGGAAGTGGTATCTATTCTATCATGACTGTTCGCTGTCCGGAGGGGTGGATCATCTGCGGAGTGTGAAGATGCGAGAGATTGTTTATGATGCGGAGGGCAACATCAAGCTGGCTGAATGAGCACTTGTATACGAATGTATAGCTATTTGCATAGTCTGAGAGATGTATATATCATGAAGTTTGTCGTTTACACCGTCGTGGCTCGTTCCCCGTGACGGCCTTCTTCATACTTTACAACTATCAATGTCCCATTCCTCTGGCTTGATTCTCCCTGACAATGCTCCAGTACTTGTCGCGACTGCGAGCTCGGAATGTCTTTCCCCATTTGATCATCACCAGGAACACGGCAGATATGGCCATGCCAATGAAGGCCGCGGACACAAAGCAGTTCTGGTATCCCAGGTCTTCAAGCCAGGGCGTAATACTATTTTAGTAAAGTCATCGTCAGCACACGCATTCAAGTCCCCTGTGGCGTAACCTACCCGTAGCCCATGGCAAACGACATTGTGTTGCGAACCAAGATCACACTAGCCATCGCATTGCCACTCAGCTCCATGTAGCTGTCGACGAGATAGTTGACGCTCAGAGTGATTCCACAGGTGTTGGCGAGCGCAAGGAGGCACATTGCAACTAGAAGTCCGAACCAGTGGACCTCGTGGGCTGCACCAACACCCCAGAGGAGTAAGGACCCAGGGACAAGAATCAAACACGCAAGGAAGGGCCAGAGACGCTGCTCGGCTTCCATCACTCCGCCGTTCCGTCGAGCTAGTTTGATAGTAAGCCAGTCACTGAATCTTCCTGTAAAAAGTGACCTAGGCTGAGTTAGTAGGGTCTGTACGTTGATTGCTCGCTAGCCCTAAGGACCAACTCACCCGCCAATGGCACCTAGACAACATGCGAGATAGCTCAGACCGACCATTGATGAACTGATATACTTTAGTCGGACGCATGCTAGGACGTTCTCTGAGCAGACTTACCTGAAATTATATGGTGCTGACCCCAGAATAAGAGATGCAGTGGCATTCAACACGTTGAACCATATCAGATACGAGCCATACGAAAACCTGCCCCGTCAGTATCCAATGTTGGAAACGAAGATGAGAAACCGCTGACGAACCCAGCATAGAAGATAACTGGCCAGCTCAGGTAATACAATGTTTGGTAGAACCTCCTGAACATGTTGTTCCTGGGTTGTTGAGGTCCAACGATTGACAGCTTCTGAATATAGGTTTTCTTGCTGTAGATAACTCCACACTCTGTTTCATCCGGTTGCGCAGCAGAAGGTAGGGCTTTTTCCTGGTCACCTTGCGCGGAAGGGTTCGTTGGCGACTCTGACACGCCCTCGACCGTGGCTGTCTCGGCATGTTTCCTTGCGTAGTTTGTCTCCTCCATGAAGAGAAAGAGGAATGCGATAGTCACAGCGCAAAAGATGGCAGGCCAGTAGAAAACCCATTGCCATCCCTGATATTGAGCAATGAAGCCGCATATGACCGGCGCAAAGTAGTTACTCCCAGCCAGAAAGAGGGCGTACAGACCCATATACGTCCCCCGTTCATGGGTAAAGTACTAGACTATATCAAAATATGCGGCATACGCTTATGAGCCACAAATACTCACCACATCCGTGACCGTCACTTCTGGGAGGGCTTCAATTGGAGCAACGAAGAAGCCTGACAAAATGCTGCGGCCAATCCACTCGCCGTTCGAACGAACATAAGGACTGTTGGCGAGTCTCACTATAAGCAATTAGAGTCCACGGTGAAGCATCAGTATAACGTACCCCCATATCAAGGTAGCCTATTGCAACGACTGTCAGTTTCTCGACCTTGGCAACGGTACAATTACTGTGCAGGCTCACCAATATTCCAACTAATGAAAGAATGTACGTCAACCGTTTACCATACTGCAATGCGAATGGTTGCCAGAAGAGAAGGCCCCAGCCTGCGAGCAAGAACATATATCCGGTTCCCTGATTGAGAGTGTCCACCGCAACACCCGTCTCTTCAGAGAGCTGAACCAGCACCGAATAAACAACCGAGGTTGAGATGCCTGCAAACAAGGTGTACCTGCACGATAGGGAGCAGATTAGTTGTTTGATAAAGAACCCTGGATCAAAACAACCTCTTCGGTTGACTTACACGCTCACACAGATCGTAGATAGTAGCTTGCGCCGTGGTGACCAATTCAAGGGGTCATCAGGGTCCTTGGAGGGTTCAGGCACGAGCACGATATCTCTGTCTCCCCTATCAAGGTGACGAGTGGCCAAGGAACCATCCACGTCCACCAGGGTGAACGTGCCTGGGATGGCGTCGCTGTCCACACGAGGCGCCATGACGAGACAAAATCTATTGCAGAAGGTGAAAATGCTGTCGGTGAACTGCAATAATGCTGTTTACTTGTCCTTGGATGTTCCAAATGTATACACACCTCTCCTCAGCCCGATGGGTGTGCAATTGGTATGCTGAGTGGAGATAAGTCTCACTGCAGAATGTGTCAATCACCCACAGGTACAGGTTGCTTCTACAAGATTTAGTCTCGAAGACAACCGGAGCGTGCGGAGTTGAAAGGAAGTACGAGTACTCGTTATATCCTCCTCTCGAGGATCTACCAAGAGGCGATATGGCGGAGATGCACATTCCTGATAGTTATTAGGTGCAAGGGCAACCTCCAAATGTAGCACAACGCATAGCCGATAAGCACGGCTCGGAAGCATTCCGCTATCATGGGACTGGACGATGATGCATGGATGCATCGAGCTCAGATACCAAGAAGGCCCGCTTGATCGCTTATCGGGGCTCTCTCCACGAGGAGGCGATGATCCATAGTCCAGAAGCATGAGACGAGGGAAGCAGGTTCCTGGCTCAATGACTCCACCAACACAAAGAGACCAGTACTTCGGAAGCGGAATTTTCTCCTCTCTTGACGGTACTCTGTCTGGAAATAAAGGAACAAGGATGATGGGCTGCTGGCGAGGTTCATTGGACAGTCTCAAATGGCAGTCGAGCTAAGCAAGGAGCTAGCCAGCGCCACCGGGGTAGTTGCTTATCACCGTAGCTTGACAGTAGTAGATGTTCTCCCCTCCTCGTCTTCCGCGTCATTGGATGGGCTCGCCGACAGATATGGGATGAAATGAAACTGATCTTTTTGAGTGGTTAATAGACTCGTGGTCAAGTTGGAGACCGCTGGGTTTCCCCGCACATAAGACACCTCTCAGCAATTATTCTCATTGCATATCTCCATGGAGACAACAACATCTACTCATTAGCAAGATCACAGGATACACATTGGCCCTATTATCTGGTCATTTGGGATGGCTTTATCTATCGTTGCAAATGTATACTCATCTGGGAACAATCATATCTACTTTCCTACACAGAAGTAGACAGACAACCTGGTCAACACTAGAGACGCTTAAACTCTTGCCCTACCATCTGCTCACTCCGTGTCCACAACGCTCGACCATTCTCCTCACCAGCAGGAAAGTCAATTTTCGGCAGAGCAAGAATTTGGCAATTGCCTAGGTATGCGCCGGAGTGTTCTATTCCCGAGATATATCCATCAGCATGATAGCCTCCAGCTTGACACATTATATCTTGCACAACCATAACAAAGGATTCCACTCACCGCTGATATCCGGATCGAGAAGAGCTCTGAGAATCGTGGCAATGCCCTGCGACACTGACTTTGGCGCTTGTTGAAGCAGAAGCGGTAGATCTTCCCGCTCTTCAAACAGGGCTGACCGTTAGGAACTCATCAACTGCAGGGAGTCATCTCGTTCTGGCACGCACGTTCTTTCTTCCTTTGGAGCCATGAAGCTACTTGCTCTGGCGAAGCAACGGTCTGAAGGCTTGGTTTGGTGTCCGAAGGATGTTCAGCTTAGGCCAAGATGGAGGATGATGAGGTTGCAGACTCACTTCCAGCATTGACAGAAAAGGTGCCCATTGACCGTCCACAGCCCGTGATAGCCAGACATTTGATCAACTGAACGTTGGCAAACATCGATAGAGCATATGCATCCAGTGGATGATATGTCTTTCCATCCTGCAGAATTGACAGATACGCGTCTGATTACCTTTCGTATCCTGATCCAAAGCAGAGGAGATCACTTACCGCGAAATTGGGGTCATCCCACGCCGGCGGCGGAGCTTCAGGCCGGATACTAGAGCAAACCATGACAACCCTTGAACCCGCCGGCATCAAGTGCACCACCAAATTGATCAGGAGGAAATTGCTGAGATAGTTGCACTGGAAGTGAGACTCAACTCCATCCTCCGTCTTCATCCACAGTGCAGCCATTACCGTGGGAAACCCTACAAACCCATCAATAGGAACATCAAGCTTCTTAATAGCTTCCGCCGCCTCGCGCACAGAGGCCAACCGGTTAAAATCTACCGAGATGAAGATCAGCTTGACCTTGGGATGTTTGTGGTTGACATCGTCGATCACCGCTTGCGCTTCGGCCTGCGACTTGCCCATCAGGATAATGGCGGCTGCATCGCCGCTTGCCAGGGCCTCGGCGGTTGCTGCTGGTAGTCCTGTCCCAATGACTCCGGTCATGAGGACTTTTCATAAAACATGATTCAGCTTATGATCGCAGCCTTTGAAAAGGGCTTGAAATGTTTGGCCTACATGTTCGTTTCTTGATGCTCATGGGAAAGGCATTGACCACGTCGGCACCTTTGGTTTCGGATCCCCATTCGATGGCCATGTTTGCGACTGTTGATCAAGAGCTCACCGGGTCTGTACAACTTGGTAGCATTAAAAAGCCTCACTTGTCGCTGGCTGTCCGATTGAATGAGGCTATTGATTTTCGTCATCATGAGTCCGTCCACATTACGTATGGAAGACGTCCTAAGCATTCGAGACGCCCCATTGCCTATTCGGTCCGGTGAATTGTTACCAAGGTCAAGTAAGTGTGAACGACCAATCACCAGTAGTATTAGGAAGAGTCGGTATAACAGCAGTATGAAGAAGGGAAGACTTAGTCGAGACTCTGTCATCGACCGGATTCCTTTGTGGCCTCAGAGAGAGAGAAGTATAATCGAAATACAAATTTCATAAGAGATGATGGACATTAAGGAGATATCCAGGGAATATGTTGAGCACTCGGCTCATACTTTACAAATCGGATTGAAACACAATACAATCCGCACATAATGGCCCCGTCAAGACAAGGCGTTGGTCGCAAGATCGCGAAAAGGAAGACAGGCGACGGTTTCTCGATAGAGAGAAAGGAAAAGTCACTCTCGATAGAATAATCCCGTTCAAGCTGACCCTGAAGCGATACCATCGTCATCTGAAAGATCCTCGATCACGTCCTTTATGATCTGAATGAGCTCATCGATGTCAGGGCGGTCAGCAGGCTCAACCTGCAAACACTTTCGCACTACCTCTTTCACTGGCTCGCTGATGGTTGCGGTATTGTCTTTACCCGCATCCTCAGCTCCAGCTCGGCCTTTACCCTTGGTAGCCCCGGGCTTCTCATCTGGGAATCGCCAGTCCCCGCCCAATACACACATACTGAGGCTCCCGCCAGTCTCCTCGCTTCTGGCCTCAAAGGGACTTTTCCCTACAAGGCAGGCGTACAATGTGCATCCCAAGGACCAGATATCAACCTTGGTGTCAATGATTGACCCGGTCTTGACGTCAAATAGCTCAGGCGCTCGGTACGGCATGGTACTGTGCTCGGCAGCAGTATCTTGGACGGCCAGAGCTAGTGAACGGGAGGTGATAGCAATCGGGCTGGGCGCTAGGGAGCCGAGATCCATGAGGATCGGAGTCTGACCGTCATCGTCGATCATGATATTGCCTGGCACAAGTCAGTCACTCTGCGCATAGAATTGCAGACGCACCAACTCACCAGGCTTGATGTCCCTATGCGCATAAGGGCGGAGTTCTCCCTCCTGAACTCCCTCCTGGCTTCTGGTAACCTCGTCATCCATCAACGGCTCGTTCTCTGAATCTTCTTCGTCTACTCGCTGGCTTGCTCGACGCTTCGGTTTGCCCATTTGCATTGATAATCCTGCGTCCGCCTCCTCGCCCTCGCGTCGGACCGCTTTGGCTCTGCGGGTAGACCCAGCGCCACTCTTTACCCGATACTGGTGCATTGCTTTAAGCGCATTGGCGACGCCGAGCATAAGCACCATCAGTCTCTTCTCGGGAAAGCGCGTATGGTTCACGAGATTCGCATTGATTGCATCTTGAAGATTCCCGCGTTGGTAGTAAGGAAGCAGGATGTAGACGGTTTTCGATCCTGGTTCGCCGCCATCGGAACGAAACTTCGAGCCCGGCTCTGTAGATACGCAATGGTCTATCGAATGGATGATGTTCGGTTGTGATGTGAATAGGTTGTAGGCTTCGACCTCTTTCAAAGCTTGTGATACAGATTCTTGGCCGAATGGACACCGGATCTTCTTTAAGGCGAAGAGCTCTGATGTCGCCTTATCTTGGACGAGATAAACGTAGGAAAATCCACCCTAGCGGAGTCGGCGTTGTCAGTTAAGGGGATATAACAACGAAACAACATGGTCTGGAGATCTGATTGACTTACTTCACCAAGGAGCCGTAATAATTTGAAGCTGCGGTTGTTGATTTTCAACTGCGGCGTGCTCGGAAAGCAGCACATGCAATCGGTAAAGTTGTAGAGCAGATCGAAGAAATATTGAGCCATCTTGCGCGACGAATTAGGGAAGCTGTCGCGACCGACTCTATATCAGAATAAGATGATGATTGATTGTTTTTTGGTGATCTCTCCAGCTCATCAATCTGCAGTTGTCGTGCAAGTGCTTCCGCAGAATGGTCGACTTGCGCGGTCCCACTGTCCCACTGTGGAGCAATCACGTACTTCGTGACAGTGAATAGAAGTCGGGAAGCGAGATTGGACAATATTCAAGGACAAGTGGCCTCGAGCTGGAGCGGGAGCAAGGATAAGGAACGCGAGGAGAGAGTCGTGGGAGATGAAGGTGCCAGATGGATGAACGGACAATTGGACGAACCAGAGAGATGTTAATTAGGAGAACTGCAAGGTCGTTGATTGTTAGCGTCGGGGGATGGTTACTGCTGTACAGAGTAGCGTCTCTTATGTCTCAGTCGAGCATGTGTCGCAGTAAGGTTGGAATGGAGAGGTGATGAATGTCTCATCGACAATAGGATCTCTTCAAAGATTAAAGGGAACGTCTGCCTTCCAGCCGCGGAGTTCGTCAGACTACGCATGGGCACTGTGGAGCAGCAGATAATAATAATAGTACTACGAGTACCGGGCACTTAACCCATGGTTCGTGTCTCCGTTTGTTATCATCCCGTTAGTTATTTTAGAATTGCGTAGATGATGTTGGTACATAATGGGAAGCAACATGATCAGACTATCAGTGCAATTGTCGGGTGATCGATGATCTCTCGACGTCAATCCTCTCATAAGTATCTCTCTATCCACTACATGCCTAAAACGCTACTCGTCGTGCCCGTTTTGCCAATTAGATCCCGTTCTTTTCATTCTTCTTCTTCGGGCTTCTTCTCTGCCCAACTGGGAAAATAATAATAAGAAAAAGAAACGCCCCCGTCAACCCCCTTAAACAGTTCACAGTCCATTGTTGGCTGACAGAAAAGCCATGAAAACTTATCTGTTCCTATCAATCAATGACCAGTCAATGATCTAAAGTGCAGGAGCTCCACTTGTGTCTGTTCTTCCTTGTACCGCATCATCCCTTTAATGCCGCTCTTTTCTTTCCCCCCTCCTGACTTGTGTCCCTTCTGAATTTCTGGGCCCTTCACCTTTTCGCCCTGGTCGCGTTCGTCACTTGGAGTACTTTGAGCACGCTCTCTCTCAAATCTCGACCTCCATCCCCATGGCGCCTCTCGACGAGATCCAGGTCGGCGATGTCGTCAACGTTCCCGGGGGCATGTATGGGACGGTCCGCTACCTGGGCAGCGTTGCCGGAAAACCAGGCAAGTTCGCCGGGATCGAACTGGCTCCGGAGCATGCCAAGAGGGGGAAGAACAATGGAGATGTGGAAGGGAGAAAGTATTTCAAGACCACTGTCCCTGGTTCCGGCATCTTTGTTCCTATGAACAACAATCGCTACGTCACGAAGCGATCTTCCTCATCCGCCCCTACCGTGAGCACCGCCCCTCCGACGCCTTCGCGACCGATCAATTTCAGCAAATCCGTCGGACCTAGTCCTGCAGTGCCTCGTCCGCGTGTAAGACGACCCTCTCTACCTCGCCCTGAATCGCCTCGTGGTCCGCCCCCCTCCAAGCTTAGCCTCGCCGGTCTTCGTACTCCGTCCACCGCTTCTCGAACAGGGCCGAGTCCCAATGGCTATCCTCGAAGTCCGGTTAAAGCTCCGTCTCGCGCATCCGATAGGGCTCCCTCCCGCTTGAGCGTGGATGATGACATGTCCTCGGTTAGAACTTCCGACTTCCATCGCAGCTCGATGGCGTCGGAGGTGCAGGAATTGAAAGATCAGATTAAGAGCCTGGAAAGGCAGCTACTGGACCGCGATAAGCAGCTGGAGGAACAGGCAAATACCCTGGCGGAATTTCAGAGGACAATTGAGGACCTGGAAGGTTCTGATGCCCTGTCCATCAGGGCCCAGCTGCGGGAGAAGAATGAAAGGATTGCTCAGTTGACAGCAGAATTCGATCTCCATCGAGCCGACTTCAGAAGCACCCTTGATACGCTGGAAATAGCCGCGTCCGAGACTGAGCGGGTCTACGAGCAGCGCCTGGACGAACTCATGCAACAGAATAAAGAGCTACAAGACCAAGGTGAGGATGTCGAGGCCGTTGCCAGGCAGCTGAAGCAGCTTGAAGAGCTGGTTTCGGAGCTAGAAGAGGGCCTGGAAGACGCAAGACGTGGCGAGGCGGAAGCTCGGGCTGAGGTTGAGTTCCTACGAGGAGAGGTTGAAAGGACAAAGCTTGAGCTGAAAAAAGAGCGGGAACATTCCACCGCTATGTTGAGGGATGCCCATTCAGGCGGAGAAGGAGGGCGGCAGTACTCGAAGGAACTAGATCAAAAAGACGACGAGATTCGCGGCCTCAAAGCCATCATCCATTCGTTGAGCAGGGGCGATCCGAACTTCCCTGGCCTGCAGAATGGGCTTGCAAGTTCTCGACAGGATCATGAGTCCGAACAAATCGCTCATCTGGAACAGCGTATCCAGGAATTTGAGCACGCAACCGAGAGCAAGAACTATCGCATCGAGGAGCTTGAGCGGGAATTACAGCAATTGCGGCTTAGCAGTGAAAGCCGTACTCGCAGCTCCACGATCAGCGCTCCAACGACTCACCACAAACCATCGAACTCTGCTGGATATATCGGGACCGCGAACACTATCAACCATGCTCATCGACTGTCTGACCGCACAGTGGTCCCTAATGACTGGCAAGAGCAACCACATGGTGAAGGTCAGTATCAGCCGTTTGGCTCACACCACCGAGCAGCCTCGGACTCCTCCCGCCACCGTCTGGAGACCATGCATGAGTCTGATGGCCGCTCTGATGATGGCAATTCATTGTGGTGTGAAATTTGCGAAACCGGCGGTCACGATATCTTGAGCTGCACAAACATCCTTGGTGCCGAAACCAAGAACGAGCATGTACTCCCCGTAGAGCAGTCACACCACGAGGGTTCTGCGGACGGCAAGTCGACCCCCGGGACTTCCATCGCTGGAGAATCATTACCTTCGAAGGATGAGGACAGCGCCACCCCTCAAAAGACAGGACGAGATGCCGTCCTGGAGGGATTGAAGGGTCTCAGTGGAGGACTCACGGCTTCAATGGCTCCTGTTGCAGGGAAAGCCAGTGGAGTGATTGATGAATCGAAGTGGTGTGCCCTCTGTGAGAGGGACGGTCATGAAAGCATTGATTGCCCTTTTGATGACTGAACAGCGGCCGTTGGGTCAGGATGCTGCTGATGGTGGCTTATGTTGGACGATCACCTATTTCTTCTGTCCTTGTTGTTGAGCGGGTTTCTCCATTCGGCACATGGCCGAACCTATTAATACTTTTGCATACTTTCTATTCTGGCAACGCCATGCGCCTTTTGCCCTAGACCTCACTTTTCGCGGCTTTTTATAATCTCCTTTCTTGGGGGCTCTCGCTATCATGATCATATGAAGCCCAGCCTTGCCATTAGAGATTCAATCTCAAGGCGATACCTTATTCAGCACTTGTGTTAATACCTTCATTGCTCTTCGAGCCCTCACTCTTTCTGACTCGGTTGTTACCAGCTCTTTCCTTTCATTTCACCCTCCTTTGTATTCTTACTGTACTTTTTTTGGGCTCAATAGACCCTGTTCTTACAAACACCTCCCGCAGAATCGCAGAACCTCGGCCCATCCTACCCATCTTTGATTCCCGCTATGCTTCAGACAGTATTACATGACTAGTTCAAGCGAGTTGCGGTTTTCAGCTCCTCATCTAGTCAGCAAGCGCATTTGAGACAACGCCCTGTGTCTTTCTCATCAAATCGATGTACAAATTGGAGATTGTCAGAATACAGTGCTTGAACAACTACATACAGTACATGACTCATCATCTGGTTTCTCTGGGCCTCGTTTTCGTCTTGCTTGTAGGTAACAAAAAGTAGAAACTTAGTCACTCTAAAAATCTAGGTGGCTGTACAATCTCCCCTTCCTGAAATCTCGTTTCCGCAATGGTCCCGCATTTCTTGCAAGTCCGTTTCTTCTGATCGGCAGCAAATTCCTCCACCACCTCCTTCACCTGTGTCCCCAAATCCGTACAAACAAACCGCTTCTCCCAGACTACGTCCCCACACTTCTTGCAGAACCACAGCATCGTATCGACAGCGTCTTTGGCCCGAGGCTGCTCCATCACCACGCCGACTGTGTCCTTGAACCGGACAGGGCAGTGCGGGGTATTGGCGGGCAGCAGGAAGATCGATCCTTCATGGATGGGGACATCCTGGAAGACAGGAGGAGTGACTGATGTATCCGCTGTCTTTAGAAGCATGGAGCCTCGATACTGATAGAAGAATTCTGGGGTCGAGTTGATGTGATAGTCCGTGCGGGCATTTGGGCCCCCAACGATCATGACCGTGTATCCGGCTGTCGCGGGGGAGGAGGGGTGGTAGACGCAGTAATTATTTACCGGCGGTTGAAGGAGATGAGAGTTTTCTTCGAGCCTGTAGCCTAGTCATTATGTGAAATGCAAGTGCACTTCATGGCTTCGTATCAGGAGATGCTCCCTGCGACGCGGGGGAGGGGTATGCGGTTTCAGGTGGGACTTGAGGTAGGAAATACCATTTCGGGATATTCAGAGATGGTGGTAGCATTGTCGCAAGCTTTTTCTTATTTTAGAGGCCTTTTCTGATGCCGGACAGACTTTTCTGCGAGATGTTATATTTGCAGTCATACATGGTTTGATTTTCAAGCAAAGACCGAAGCCGATGCGGTCATCCCATCTGGCGGAGATAGCCGGAGATAGATAAACAGGACAATCGGAAAGGAAGATCATCTCTCCGACAGATTTTCTCTTTTTATCAAAAATTATCCACACTTTGAGATTGAGAGAATCAGCTTCTGATATCGACGACAGGGTATCGGAAGATCTCCAATCCAGCAATCATGGCCACTACATCCCAGCCTCCCATCCGGTTCACCGGTCACAAGAATTTTGTGAACCGACTGGTCTTTTCAACCTTAACCGGTCGTGCAATTCATATCTCCCAGATCCGTCCTTCGTCGCCCACGAATCCCGGTCTTGCTTCCCACGAAATCTCGTTTCTGCGTCTTTTAGAGGCAGTTACAAATGGTTCCCAGATGGAAATTTCATATACGGGTACTATCGTTATCTACAAGCCTGGTCTGATCACTGGAGGCGTTGTAGGTAATGGGGTCACCAGCGGAGGTGTTATCCGGCATGAGCTCCCTGCAGGATGCACTCGAGGCGTCAGCTACTACTTAATACCTCTTTGTCTCCTCGCGCCATTCTCTAAGGCCCCGATCAAGGTACTCTTCACTGGTCCTGGCGTTATCACTTCGGCCACACCCGCTGGGGACATGTCCGTGGACAGCGTCCGCACTGCAATCCTTCCGCTTTACAACCAGTTCGGTATCTTCAACAACATTGAGCTTCGTGTTCTGCGCAGGTCTAATCCCGGACCGAATGGCAGGGGAGGTGGTGGAGAAGTTCAGTTGGTTTTCGGCCACCAAGTACGCCTTCCGAAAACACTGCATTTGATGAACCCAGGCAGAGTCAAGAAGGTTCGTGGCGTGGCGTACTCGGTGGGTGTTTCAGCATCCAACAATGCAAGGATGATTGATGTGGCGCGTGGCATCCTTAATCCTCTCGTTCCCGACACCTATATTTTCTCCGACGTGTCGTCCGCGCCGCTGGTCCCTGACAGAAACAACCCATCCGCAAAGAAGAAGATCGGTCTTGGTTTCGGTTTATCCCTGGTTGCGGAGTCTTCGACTGGCTGCTTGTACTCCGCTGATGTCGCCTCTCCGCCTGCGGGTGGCCAAGCACCGGAGGATATTGGAAAACAATGTGCCTACCAGCTTCTGGAAACCATATCGAAGGGCGGATGCGTAGCACCGGCTGCAGCTTCAACCATGCTGGGCTTGATGACGATGGGGTCGGAGGACGTGGGTCGACTTCAATTTGGACGGGAAGTGATTGCCGATGAGAGTATCATCCAGCTGGCCAGAGACTTGGGCAAGTTCGGTGCCCCTGGTTGGGGTCTAAGAGATGCTACCGGTGAGAATGAGCAAGGGGACGTTATCGTGAGCGTGGTCGGACGAGGTATTGGCAACGTTGGTCGGAAGGTTGCTTGATCACGGCAAGACACGAATTGGCGGCATATGACTGTCTGCTACATATGCTCGCCCATGCGGTATTAACACGAGGCTCAACTGCCGTCTGGGAATTTCTCTGCACATCCAAAGCAGTAAAGCAGCTCCGCGCACACATGATTGTCTTGTTCCGATCATTCTCCGGTAACAAGCCACCGGGAGATATGCATTACCCAGGTGTGCATTAAAGTCGAGTGAATTGCCTCGAGCCTAACGAAAACGTTATCGCTTGTCTGGCCTGTGTGGCTGGAGTCCAGCACGAAGCCACTTGTATTTCATACAACCAAGGTCCTTGGCAGGACAATCAATATCTTGAGGTGTTTCGCGAGGGTAACAAAAGTTTTGAAAGGTTGTTCACCTTTTGCGTCGCATTATACCCATATTTCGATTACCCGAGCTGCTCCTGCACACTTGGTCAGGGCAAATTGAACTGGTATTCGAAGAAGAGGCGTTTATGGTGTTTTGGGAAAGAATTATTATGGCGCACTGTTGTTGTATATAGGACAGTACTATCATGCATGCTAATCCTGCACAGTTTAGCATTTGAGGTCAACGACTGAAGTCTTCAACACGTTTGTATTCGTATTATTCTTTTTACTATTCCTCGCTTTTGCTAAAATTTGTATGCCGATACGGAAGCGCATTCTAAGAAGAAGCTATATCCGACCTACTGCCCCAGGGACATAAGCAATGCTCTTACTGACTGGACTTCGGCCTGGCCCAAGTCCGAGTTTCTTGAAGCTGGAGGGAGTATGGCAGAACTCTCTATGTACCTAGTCCTTCTGTCAAAGCAGGACCGGACGATCAACGGCTCATGATGACCTTATTTTGTGCGCCCCTTTCACTCTGACATGTCTTTTTCGTCACGAGTTCAGGCAACAATCTGCTCAACCAGTTCCCGGCGCAGCGATCTTTTCTAGATTGGGGAGCATGAAGCTATTCAGTACCATAGTTTGATCGTACCTTCCTTATCTGCAGCGGTTGCCCTGGGGGTCATGGCCGCCACCAATGCAGTACAAAAAGACAGCTGATCCCCTCTTCCTCCTCTTCCTTTTCTCTCCCGCTGTTCTCCTTACCCCTGCCCTTGAGTCATTTCTTTTCCTCTCCTGCGCCATCCTTCTCCTTGTCCTTGTTTCTCAGCATAAACCACCCTTTTTTTTGGCTCTCTCCAGACATTCGTCTTCGCCGGCTTCCCGTGCCTTCCTTCTGCCTATCTCCCATGTCTCAATACAGTGGCCCCAGTAAGTTGCCTTGGGGCCAGCTTCTGTTCAGAGCAGACTATTTACCTGCATAGGTACCTCATTGAGTACGTCAAGCTGAGCGAACCACTTGGCAAGTTTCAAACTTCCTCGTTTCAATCAGAAGCTGATCATTTTCGAACTGCGCGCCACGGAGGCTCGACAGCGAGCTGGTCGTACATCCCTTCCCTTGCCACCGCCCTCGTTCCTCGGAGCATCATGCCTCGCATCGTGGGCAGGCCCAGTAAGTGACAGAGCTTGTATGTGAATCTGCATATCTCTTACCCGAAGGGGGGAACATGAATGAAGAATCAATAAAGCGTCATTATGAATTGCATTTGAAATTGTATCAAGTTTGGAGAGTGCACGTGTGAGTCCAGGGCTGGAAACTTGCCTTGGGATTGTGTTCGTAACGACTAGAGGCTGCGAGGATTGAGCAGAAAGTTCGAAGCGGTTCAAACTCCAGCAGTCCTGAGCTCCAAAGCATTCTTATAGACTAGAAGACAGTTTCAGGAGCAAGCCGCCGTAGGCATGTATTTTGACCTGGGTGTACGGCAAGGGCTTTTGTCAACATTGTCTTGAGTAAAAGATCTCTAGTATAGATTGCCTCGATATTCTATATCCTGAATTAACCATCTTAAATAGTACCAGGATTTCCCAAGGGCATCGAATAACCCGAAAACATACATATATACTCCAAAAGCAGGCTCCAGTCCAATAAACATAGATGTGCAGTGCTTGCTGATGAACAGGAAATCATATACGACAGAATGAGACTGATTTGTGCACCCGAACGCCTTTGGAATGCAGAACACGCCGACTGATGAATTTGTGGAAATTGAAATAATGAAGGATAGCGCCGAAAAAAGAAAAAAGGAAAAGAAAAGCATGGGTGAGGTAATGGGCCTGTTCTTTTCGAAGACGAAAGACACGACGCCGGAAATCATAGCAAAGCAAGAGAATTTGAAAGATTGTAGCAGTTGAAGGTCATTGACAGTGTGATTGTTTGCGGGCTGGATTTACTCTGCCACATCCTCGTCTTTGCCCGGGTACATGATGTCTTGTCTAATGATGGCACGAATGTGGTGGACGAAAACGAAGAGCCACATGCAGACGATCCCGACCGACATGGCCGAGCCAACGCCCAGGACGCCCGGGCTGCCCAATGCCGTCCCCAGGGTAATAGTGGCCAAGGTGAAACCGGTGTTAGGGAAGACCAGGGCCCACCAGCTGAGATGGAAGGCTGTAGGCGGGGACCTGACGACGGCAATAAAGGCAATGAGGAAGAACCAGAGACTCAGGGCCCACAGGAACACACCAGCCGTGATTGCCAATAGCTCGAGGATCCGAGCGTCCTCGAGGGCGTGTGCATCGTTGATGACCTTGAATTCCTCGGGCAGGCTTTTGGCCATCCCTACAAGAGCCAACGCGGTGAAAGCCGGGGGCCCCACGCAGATGAACATGGCTGGTCTGTGTTCGCGGCAGGGAAGCCCTGACTGCATGAGTCGACCGATGTAGTGGGCGTACATCATGAAGCTGATCGAGAAGCCCAGGCCCTGGAATGTGACGCCGGCGGTGATGACGGGGATCGCGGATCGCGCGGGCTGGTCTTCGCCGATGACAGAGGCGATGGTTCCGGTGAGCATGATGGGGAAGGCTGGTAAGATCCATGATGGCATCATTGTCTGGAGGCCGTAGGAGTGGGCAGCGAAGAGGAATGAATACTGGATCACGGCTGTGGCGAGGGTGCAACTACAGTAGACCCAGAAGAGGACTTCGAGTACGATGAGATATGACCCTAGATCCTCGGAGCCGAAGTAACGATGCAAGCCGGTGATGATCGTTGCAACGGACAGCCAGAAGGTAGGAAAGAAAAGACCCTCGCGAGGGTGGCGCAGGCTGTCAAGGAAACCGCCATGCAGAATGAATCTGAGCGCCATCAGAGAACAGACGAGGGCGAATAACAGAAGATTGATAATATAAACGGCCATCCCAATGCCCTTCATTCCCTTGAAGGTATAGGGCTGACTAGCAATCAGAAGAGCCAGTCCACCGGTGCTCATCGTCAAGGTATACCAGGCCCAGGTGAAGTGCCGTAGGCGCTCACGAAGGCTTAGCCGAGAAGGTTTCTTCATCTCATGTTCAGAAAAGCCAGAATCAGACTGTGGCGATGGTGGAACATGATCGTCGAACATCGTGATTGCGAGGTAGCTCGGTCCTGATACGGATATAAAAAGAGT